ATTTTTTTGGTTCATCAGTACTAAATATTGTTATAAAGGTGTAACAGTACTAAATCATTTACTTGTGAGCTGTCTTGACTTATTATGAGAGCTGTTTACTGATATTAATGGTTCATGATTGTTTGACAATTGTTATTTAAAGTATAAACTGTTGAATAAATTTTATAACTGTTTAAAACGGTGTTGCCTGATTACTATCAGATGACTTGGAGAGCTACACAGCACATCATTTCTGTATCTGATTGCATTTATACTTTGAAAGCCTGAGTGCCAACATACAGTTCCAGCATACTTAAGAGTCCCCCGACCCACTAGACCGTAACAATATTACAGTTTGCAAGGAGGTCTATACATGTTACACAACTTACCATCCCTTGTTTCTTTAATCGGAATCATTGTATGAGTGTCCAAATTAAGTTTAACCGAACTTCATTCATGTTAAAAGGTAAAGAGATGAAAATCAGGAAAAAGGGAAGAACACACGATATTTTGGTCCTGAAATATATATTTCATTACCCAAGCGGAAAATGGGTATTGTGATTTCTTATCCGGTAACTCGTTTAGTAAGTTATCATACATGTATATTATCCTATCTTTAGACGGTTTAGATAAACGAAATCGTCAACACTTATCAAACGATAAATTAATCAAACGAACATAAACGATGGCTACCCGTAAGTAATATTAATCAATTTATGTTTGAAAACTGTGTTTCTTTATTGTTCGGCTATTGTTTTATTTTGATTTGTTTTGTTTTGTGGTTTTCATCAAAGGTAGAAGTTGACATTTTGTCTTGTTATTTGATATAATTAGCAGAATATATTTTGAAGAAGTAAGCAAAACCATTTACGACCCATGTCGCTGAATTTAACCGCATGCATCTTAATCACAATGTTCATTTTATATATCAGATTCTTTTTATCTTTTAAACTTTATAAAAAAAACCTTCTATCTTAATTGCTAATCGCACATTAGTAGACCGAAAGCTGCACACCTGATGAAATTAAAGGAAAACAACGAAGGTGCTAAAGTGTGAAGAGAATTGGATAGGGATCGAGTAGACTAGCTTTGTTATTTTGAAAGAGGAATGTTCCAGAAATACCCGGAACTCCTATCAGTTAGAACATCCTTATGTTAACATATACTTTTGCACATTTCAATTTTTGGTAATTAAGTCATATCTAATATAGATTCGTTTAGTTTCGTTACAGTACGCCTTAAATGATTACTGTAAAGGCACAGCGGCGTAGCTCATAGAACGCGACCTATGCTGTGAAGTACAGGATACACTTATAAACTTATAAACTTCACTAAAATATGATGTTATTCAAATTAAAGCGTTTTTGCTCTAAATTATCCATTGCATGTTTGTATTAATTCGTGTCTTTTGACAGGTAAAACGGGTCCAAGGTTGAAAAGAAGTTAGGTAATAGCACATTTTCAAAGTTAGCAATAATATATTAACCTGTAAATGGCAAACATGCATGTTTTAATTGAAATATATGTCTTCTATTCTTTATACCTGAGTGTTAAAGTTTCGTAACATTCTGTGGGTTGGGTTTTCAAAAGTCTTGAATTACCGTCTCCTAGTTGTTTTGGCATTAAGATTGGCAATTTGAAGAAAACAAAAACGTTGTGATAAATTAATAAAAGTTTCCATTTAATAAAATAATTTGCGCAAAATTAGATAATCAAGACGAGTTGTTGTAACAGGCTAATATACATGTTTTAGTATCGCACAGCTCATAGCATAATACTTATTAAACTCAAAATATTTTATATATTTGTATCTTTGGTGTGTAGGGAATAATTCAAGATTTCGGCACGATATGGCCAGTTATGTGTTGACGTCCCGTAAAATCCAAACAAACAAACAGCATAATTCAAGATTAAAATAACAAGTCAGGTACACTGCATAAGGGTACAGATTCGTAAAATATTTACATTTCAAAATGCCGTTGGATGAAAAATATAAAAAAGTGGGAATAATCTATAAAAGAATAAGGGAAGGAATTTCAGTTTGTGCAAATGTAAAACAGAAATAACGGCTTTTCACAGAATTAATTCATTCAATGCATGTTGGGAAGAATTTGGAATTGCCTCCCTTCCACTATGTTACTTTTAAACTCTATTGTAATTCAGCAAAGAATAAATTTTATCTTTTAAATAATGTAACTTAACTATTGTATAAGTTGTCATGTATTATCAAAGATTATTATTATATGTGTAAGATTGATATTACTGCAAATGAAAAGAGATCCTATTTTAAATCATTTTTAGATATGATATATTGTATTTGCCTGCACAAACGCCCGACCTGAACGGTTATATTCAACCGCTCTCAATTATACCAAATTTATCACAAATACTTTATGCGATCATTTTTAAACGGGTGTAAATATTCTAAGGTAGATTTAGCATCATATATTACCTTTAATCTGAACGATTAACGATGGTGAACCGAATGGTTATTACATCTTGATGTTATAGTTTTACATCAGCCTTAAGTGTCAGTAAGTAAACCTATTGGCAGTAGGAATGTATAGTAACTGCCCGGAACATAATTTCACGATTGTTGTAGTTCATAAATTATACTTACTATATTGGCTAAAATCACATTGCTATCATTAATTTCCATTGATCTAACAATCTTCTAACAATTTTACAGCAAAGCGGAAACTGTTTAAGAATCTATTTGCAACTCCCAGATCAAAGGAAAAAGAGCCATCGGAACCATGGAGAGATTATAAAGACTTAAGAGATGGGTGGACACAAGATGTAATATCTAATTATCAATTATACTGTAACCTTTCAATGTATAATATTGATAATATTATGTAAATTATGTTTAATCTTATCATTTTCAAAAGAAATAAAAACTCGACGCATTTAAGACAATAATTTTGCAACTAAAGCTATCAATAGCGTAACGACTATAAGCGTTATATGAAAATATACTATGCTACTAATTCTCAGGCTTGAGTGGAACATAATAACCGAAGTCTATGTAATGCTTCTTGAATGTGTCTGATTTGAATAAAAGAATTATAAAGAATGTATGGGTAGCTGCATGCCCTTTCACATGGCAATTTAAGTTGGTATTTTCTTTAGAAGTATATGCCAGTTTCTTTATATTCATATTGTGACCACTTTTTGAAGTCAAAACATGTTTTTACAAGAACAATCTATTCCAGTTATCAATAGTTTTTGATATCAAGTTTGAGCAAAGTATAAATAGAGTAATAAATAGATAGAGAATACTTAAAGTTTGGTATTTAATGACATCTTACTTGAGTGAGTGAACAGTGTCAAATATAATGCCTTGCATATGGCAGTATTGGGTAGTATGTGTGAAATAAAATATTTGACTAACAAAAATATCCAATAAAACAATATCTTATTGTAGTATTATAAGACCATGTTGACCAGAATCAAAGCAAATACAACGTCGGTATTGAAAATTGAGGGCGTCAATTCTACAACTATAAATATCATGATGCTTGGTTATGTTCAAAGCGGAAAATCTGCGACAATCAACTCAATATTTTGTATACTTGATGGCAGAATAAGTAAACGGGCAAAATCCGGGGTCAGTACACAAAAGGTGTGTTATAGTTTTCGTATAAGCTGACTAAAAATACATTATTTGTTAAACTCGCTATCTTTTTTTTTCAAAATGTTTATTTGCAATAAAGCTTATAATAAAGATATAAGATGTTTTTAGAACTTCGTGCCAACAAAATGGAATCACTTATATTTGAAAACGAAAATGCAAACCAAATAAAAAGTAAAAATAAACAATTCAGAAGAGCATAATGTAATTACGGCCGTGGCCATCCTAATCATTTCAATAGATTGTTCCTCATCTCTCATGATAAAGAATCACGACGTATTCTATGTCAAGGTCACTTATTTTGAGATTAAAAGAAATGATTTTCATGGACTTTTCGAAAGCAAATTGACTGCAATATTTTTCATTGAAGATTACACGAATTGAGCTCAAGTAATTTACGATCAATATTATACATGTAAATCTAAATGCTCTCTCGTGCACATAATATAGTCCGGGTTATAAAGTCCTACGTAGGAGTCACGCTTTTTATCTCCTACGTAAGAGTAACAAAGTCCTACGTAGCAGTTATAAAATCCTAAGTAGGAGTTATGAAGTCCAACGTTGGAATTATAATAAAATCCTATGTAGGAGTTATAAACTCATAATCAGGGTTTCTTTTATCTTTTACACAGTTATAGAACATGTTAAATTTGCACCAGAATGCTTCCGTAATCATTGCTATCGTAAGAAGACTATTTTATAATCTAGTGAATTAATTATTGCATATTGAAATATTCATGTTTGCACTGTAAGATCAGACAGAGGTCGTAAAATCAAATAATTAAAAATCAAGAATAGAGCTTATTTAATTTAAACATGGGATTCTGGTTTCTTTTCAGTATAATTCATTCAGGGGCGAAAAAGAACTTGATGATATTATTCTCTTTGACGTCATGGGGGTCGAGGCCATACACAACCAAGGAATATTAACTGAAGACATTCAAATGTGTTTGGATGGAGACATTGAAGAATACTATCAAGTAGATATTGTAGTTTTTTAGATATTTCTGACAAATACAATGTGCCAGATAAATACAATTTTAATTTAAAATCAATAATATGTACGGAGTCCCTAAGGTGACATTTTCCACATTTTTTCGCGGGGACTTAGTTCGATTTTACGAAATATTAATTCGTTTTTAACGAAATATTAGTTCGTTTTGAAGAAAAATTAATTCGTTATTACAAAACATTATTTAATAAAATTAAAATGATGACATACAGAAACTTAAGGTAGACTCTAGTTAAATTCAATTCATCGCAAAAATTAGAACAATGTAATAGTAATATTTTGTTCTTTTATGTACCGTTTTAGTTCAATCCATGTCCCAAGAAAAAAACCGACGGTAAAGTGTTTGGAAAGGAAATACATTGTGTGATGTACTGTGTTGATGCGGAATCAATATTTCAAGAAGTAATAGAGCCCGTTAAAAGGAGAATGCAACAGATAGAGTCCGACTTGAAGGTAACTGGTAGGTACTCGATTTATAATGCTTCCTCGTGAGAGAATCACATTTTTTAGCATCTTTCAAAATACATAAAATAATAACTATTTGAGTAGATATTTCCTTGTCACTGATTTTTTTCTTTCATAAAAGATTCGTTTACAAATAAATAGATTAATTAATTAATAACCTCGCTATTTGCAAAGCTATTTAAAACATTCTTTATTAAAACCATTTTAATTTTTAGAATAATTTTGTTACTATTGAATACTTTAAGACGAACGAACATATCAACCAACAAATTTTAATGCATTCTAGCTTTGAAATGATAGAAAAGAAAGCTATTTTTCATTGTATTCAGTTGTACTAATTCATAAATCTCAGGAATTTTTTTCATAAAAGAAAAAAATATTAATACATTGAACTTTACTCAGAGAATATTAATACATTGAACTTTACTCAGAGAGTCAATAACTGCTATATTATTCTTCTGCCATTTTGTACAGCGCAAGATAGGATAGTGCTTGTAACAAAGATTGATACCATTTGTGATGAGACAAAAAAAGATATAAGGAGGATTTTTTATAGCAACAACATAAAAAAGGTGGTTGAGAGGGCGGCGAGTGTCTTTAAAGTTAGTTTGAACCAAGTTTATCCGATTAAGAATTACACGGACGAAGTAGAGCTCGATGAATATTTAAATATACCGTTGTTGCTAGGCCTGTCAAAGGCAGTCGATTTCAGCATCGATTACCTTCTAAATAAGGCGGACCAAACAAGGAGGAAAAAGAATTACCAGAAACAGCAGAATAACTAACAGATATACAGATATGGGATGTTTTATGTATTACGTATTAATCATAACGTCTTCATGGAATGTTTTTGGTCAAAACGAGAAGAAACAAGTTGACATGACGTGAAACTTTTAGATAAGTGGAGGCCCTGATAAGCTTCCGTAGCAAATACTTTAGTTTAAAAAAATCTAAAAAAAATTTAAATGGGCACTTGACACGAATTAATAACCCTGCCCTAATGTGAGACACATCGCGTCCCAACCCTTTCATCAACCTTTCCGCGTACACAATATCCAAACTATTTTGTTTCAGTTTAAGCCTGGCAAAGAATCACAATTTTGTGTAGCCTCAAACGTTCTTTAGTGAAACCCGGGGCTAATATACACTGCTATAATATGGTTCTGCTTGAATATCCGGATATTGTCTGTGATTTGTTTGATCGTGAACAAATTAAAAGTCAGTGGCCTTTACATCCATGTATTATTTTGATATTATATCGTGTAAAACTTAAAACTTTAGAGTTTCAGATCGATTAAGATTACAAATTTTAAAAACGAAAATCGAATTTATGTTTGTACAAATCATGAATAAACATTTAAAAGGCTCGTGATAACACAAAATACAATATGATACATAATCAGATAATAGAAAACACATTTGTTTACAAAGAGAATGCTAAGATATGTTATGATTTAATATTTCTGCAAACCTAACAGTCCTAGAAAATCCTACCGGTAACCTCACAGGATATTGTATACCATACTATGTCCAGAGAGTTTAACAATGCCATTGAAAGTAAAATTTTCTCTCGATAAGGGCGAAGAATAGATGTTAACCAGCAGCAAAACTATATAGTAACTTTTAAAATTGGAATTCTTTATCAGTTTTATTAAAACGTTATGCATGCATACATTCAAATATCATATGGTAAATAATATACCTTTACCATTTAAAGAATAATGCATAATCACACATACAAACACAATGTTATAAATGAAGAGTGGGAAAGTTTGTTTTTATTCACCAAGAAAACGTTAAAATATTCAAACATTTAAGTGAGTATTTGGTTTAAACAATATTTATTTTCAATAAAGTGCCACATTTAATATATTATACAAAGTAAACACAATATTTGCAAAGAGATTCATAATACGACAAAACAACAAGTTATACATAAATCAGAAAATGTACTTTACAGGTTTTCTATCACTTAGAATAGAGGAGAAAGATAGAAGCTTATGCTTATATAATGCTATGTTCTCACCGCCGATCAGATCACTCGATCGTGCCGATCACATTAATTTCCCAATGTAGTCCGACCAAGCTGGATTAAATGCACATTCAAGACTCCTACACGACATCAAGTCGACCCTACACGATATTTTACGACTTCTTCTCGACGACAACCCGACCAACATCCCGACTTCTTCTCGATTATTCAGACCTATACGCGAGTCATACACGATCTCAACTAGACTAACTGGACCTCTGCTCGATCGTTGACAGATTTCAACCGGACCAGATCGTAATGATCGTAATTGAGTCGTGAATAGTCGTGTATCGAATTGTTTAGAATAAAATCTTCAAACAATCCTGGTTCAAATCAGTCCATGATGGAGATTGGGCAGACCAAACTAGATCGTTACACGATTTATTCTCGATCAACAAGACCTTCTACTCGATCGCTTAACGATCGCTTCTCGACCGCATATCTACTCGATCGCTACTCGAATTTATTTTGACATGTCAAAACGAATCGGGTAGGAAGCCCGAGCCATGCCGACCAAGGTTGACCTATCCGACCACCTCGATCACGCATGCAGACCGAGCTAGACCGGTACCCGATCGCTTGATCGTGCTTGATCGGGTAGATCTGATCGGCGGTGAGAACACAACATAGCTTCGCTTCTGACTTTCGTGCAAAGCTGCTATGATTGTGTAATTATCAATATGTAATATTATTTTTCGAGAAAATGATAGAGAGAAAAAAAGAATAAAAGAAATGAACGGTCTGTACCTGAAATGTAATTGTGTACCTGTGTGAAAATAAATGAGATAGTGTCGTTTTTAAGAATTCATTGCTATAAAGAAGGGTATCTAAATAAAACTGGTGGATATCTGAGATTCTAAGAAGATCGCCTGGGTGTAAGAGAAAGTGGTCTGTATTCTCAAGTCCGCCAGAAGCACACGCTGTTGAGTCCATAATGTTTCTTGAGTACATATTTTTTTGTGAGCTTCAGTGCATGCGACGACGTGCGTGTTGAATAGCTGTCTCTCTCTCTTACCCACATAGTAAAAGGGGTGGGTGTTTTTGATGTATTGTTGTTTAACGTTTGTTTGAAAGTCGATATAGACGTGACATTTTATGTCAGTCGAAAATGTGTTCCAAGAAGAGATAGTTGACTTTAGAGAAGATTTTTAAATCTGCGTATTACAATATGTCTTTCTCAAATGATCTATAAAAAGTATTGTTTCCAACAATATTATAACCTATCAAATAAATACATGTAGATAAATAGAGCATCAACTTTCAAAAAATGCTATATCATTTTCATCGCATTCAAGCAAGTCCATATAACTATATTATATACTGGAGAAACATCACCCAAGAGATAAATGCCACATAAGTAAACGTTATTTTAAAGATGAAAAACGAAACAATTGTTTCATTTAATTCATATTATTCTATCAAATTGATCTTTATCACTGAAATACAAGAGGAAATTTCAGGTTTATAAATATAATCACACGTTTTATTTTTGACAGAAAGAACGCTGTTCTACTATGTTATTTACACAATACGAGGTAAGATCAAAACGTTCTCGGCCCGATATTCTTCTAGCCACTTACACTGACATTTACACACGATACGTCGATACCGATATCTTATTAAAGATTATTGACCGAGTTACACGCGGTTTTACATAGATTTAGTAACATAAAACACAATTTGATCAGTAGAGGTCATTTAGACCTAATGGAGAAAGTTGAAATTAGAGCCGTAATTAAGTACCTCTGAAAAGAAATCCATGAAGACGTCATGGATACACTTGGAAAAGAGTCCCCTTATTGTAGCATTGTGACAAAATGGGCTGCTGAACTTAAGACGGACAGGGCGAGCATTGGATTTGATGAGCGGCCTGGGCGGCAGGCCACTGTGGCGCCGTTATAGGTCGTAACCCCGCTAAATGTTGCACTTACCGCTAAATGTCGCACCATTGCCGGTAAATGTCGCAACCGCCACTAAATATCGCAAAATCATTTGCCGTTAAATGTCGCAATGTTAACGTTAAATGTCGCACGAATTCCCCCCTACCGTTAAATGTCGCAACACTACCGTTAAATGTCGCAAGATATAAATTCATGTTAAAATCATGATCAAAAGTAGTAGTATTTTACTTTTTAACGCTCTCATAGTTATTTGTACTGTTATTGCCATTTAACACAAGAGCCCGGTTTGAGCCGGGTGATGCACGCCAAATAGGTTTTGGACAAAGGAAAGTACACCTTTTGTAGTTATAGAGTTATGTTTCTGGAAAAAGTTCAAAGTGCAATAATTCCAAAATAAGGCGAAACAGAGTTACTGTTCTTTGCACTGCACTTCTAACCAATGTGATCTATCAACCTACAAAGTTTCTTGTTGATACCTCTTACGGTTTTCGAGTTATGTCCTGGGCAAAGTTCAAAATGTAAAAATGAACAAAGGGCAATAACTACAAAATTTGGCAAGGCGGAGTCCAAGTTCTTATGCACTGCACATCT